CATACATACATACATACATACATACATACATACATACATACATACATACATACATACATACATACATAAATTACATACATTACATACATACATACATACATACATACATGCATGCATACATACATTACATACATACATACATACATACATACATACATACATACATACATACATACATTAATTTCATACATACATACATACATTACATTACATTACATTACATTACATTACATTACATTACATTACATTACATTACATTACATTACATTACATTACATTACATTACATTACATTTCATTACATTACATTACATTTCATTACATTACATTACATTACATTACATTACATTACATTACATTACATTACATTACATTACATTACATTACATACATTACATTACATTACATTACATTACATTACATTACATTACATTACATTACATTACATTACATACATACATACATACATGCATACATACACACATACATACATACATACATACATACATACATACATACATACATACATACATACATACATACATACATACATACATACATACATACATACATACATACATACATACATACATACATACATACATACATACATACATACATACATACATACATACATACATACATACATACATACATACATACATACATACATACATACATACATACATACATACATACATACATACATACATACATACATACATACATACATATGTACATGCATGCATACATACGAGAGAGGGAGAGTGGGGAGAGAGAGGCTTGGGGGGATGGGGAGGATGGGAGCAGAGGGAGGGAGAGAGGACGACAGAACACACAAGGGAGACAAGGAAGAGAGGAAGAAGGAGAAAAGGGAGAGGACAATGTCGGCGGACTGAGCCGGAGGCTCTAAAGTTTCTTTGGTTTTGCGACCCGCTGGAACCTACCTGATGCGGCTTTTGTCTACATTTAATTCAGTTTAGCAAGACCCATGAACCATTGTGGCTCACTTGTTCCACACCGCGCCTGCTTGAAATATTTTACGGTTTATGCCGGTTCATTTCGGGGATCCTATACGATCTGTTGCCCTACGATTTGGGCAATATAGTGATTCAAGTACCGTTTTTGGGGAGACTATACCCCCGGCCCAATTAGTTTTCAACTGTGAGTTGTTTCAAAAGGCAGGGGACCAAGGGAAGGCCACCGTTTGGGATCATCCCCAGTTTAAAACCATTGCTCATTTCAATACTTTGTTCCCAGTTAGAAACACACATCCATATTCCTCATTAATCAAATGTGGATGCAGGTGGCTCCAGCGCACTGCTGGAGCTCAAGCGGAACAATTCTATTTGGGCATGCTATGATCCCTTGAAAAAAGAAGCTGCAATGCAAGTACTACAACAAGAGACAGGGCGCAAAATGTCGTCCGAGGATCCCTCAAGGAACATGAATTTACCAGTGCCAAAACCCCTGGTTGATTGATAATCACTTCCCCCTATTAATACCAAATCCGGGAATACTACTTTTAGAATAGCCAATACTAAACCAATTCTAAAGTAGATATGTTCCTGCCCGTACTCAAGTCCAGCCTCATTAGGGGGACCCCGGGGGCACGTTTCCTTTGCTACGGCTGTACTACAAAGTTGCGACTTTCGAGCCAGAGCTCCGGGAGCACGTTTCCTCTACTACGGTTGTACTACAAAGTTGCGACTTTCGAGCCAGAGCTCCGGGAGCACGTTTCCTTTACTACGGCTGTACTACAAAGTTGCGACTTTCGAGCCAGAGCTCCGGGAGCACGTTTCCTTTACTACGGCTGTACTACAAGGTTGCGACTTTCGAGCCAGAGCTCCGGGAGCACGTTTCCTTTGCTACGGCTGTACTACAAAGTTGCGACTTTCGAGCCAGAGCTCCGGGAGCACGTTTCCTCTACTACGGTTGTACTACAAAGTTGCGACTTTCGAGCCAGAGCTCCGGGAGCACGTTTCCTTTACTACGGCTGTACTACAAAGTTGCGACTTTCGAGCCAGAGCTCCGGGAGCACGTTTCCTTTACTACGGCTGTACTACAAGGTTGCGACTTTCGAGCCAGAGCTCCGGGAGCACGTTTCCTTTACTACGGCTGTACTACAAAGTTGCGACTTTCGAGCCAGAGCTCCGGGAGCACGTTTCCTTTACGGAACGGAACAGGGGGACAACAGTTGCAAACAAGCCTACACAGAACAAGAAGCACCTCCAAAACCTGCCCTCCAGAACCAGGGGACCCCTAATAATAAAAATTGTTTTGCAGGCCGGGTATTTTTATTATTAGGGGGGGGGGGGCGTCGTTTATTATTAGGGGGAAGGGATTACGGGGGGGATCCCGTGTTTGGTTTCCGGATCACTGGGGCGGCACCGGGTGAAGCTGAGTTGGAGTCCTCTCTGTCAGCCGCCGGTGCTCCGGGGCCCAGAACCTGGGCCCGGCGGTTGTCACCGTTGGCAACCGGCGGTTTCCCATGGGATTCAGGAGGACTTTTGAGCTGCCGTTTTGTTGGGTGGCTGATTCTAAGGGAAAAACCACCACTTTCTGAAATTTACGATGAATTGAAACAGGAAATGGGTGAAACCTGCTGGGAAACTGGGGCAGCTACATTTCACAACAGAACCCAACAATCAGGAAGCTGACTGTGGAACTTCAAATCAAGAACAAGCAAGTCCTGCCCAATTTCGTGACTTTCAGCGGGGTCCTGTGTATGAACCAGAGTACAATCCACTGAGAAGGATCACTCTTCCAGTTACAAGGATACGCACGATACATCCCATCTTAGGTTTAATTCAATGACTAAGGGCGTCTAGAAACAATGGATTGCGATTCAACTGCATGGCAGTGAGGCAGCTTCGTTTCTAGCAGTCCTTAAGGCGGGGCCAATTCAACACGGTCGTTGGGGTACAAATTCGGGATAGGGGGGGCGGGGCGGGCAAAACAGCTGCAGGAGAAAGCAACCAACAAGTTTACATTGCAGGCTGTCATTAGGGTGCGCATCCAATGCGTCTACATTGCACGCGGTCACTGGGGGCCACAGGGGTACAGATTCTGGGAGTTCTGGGGGCGGTCACACATTACAGGTGGTCACCGAGCAAATTCGCAGCGGCAGAAGCTATGCATGTCTTCCAGGGCTTCCAGCATGCATCGTGCGCATTTGCGCGTCCCTCGGCTGCAAGTTCCGGGCATTCAGTCGCAACATGCAGTCGCAGTCATACGTTCTCCCGCGCAATAGCTGGGCACCCGGGCCGGCTTGGCCTTGGCCAGCAAGGTGACTCGCCTGCAGGCGGACGGGTGTGGGCACAAGCAAAAGACGCTCCTAAAGAATGTTGCCGAGGAAGGTCACTTCAAAACGCATGTTGCCGAGGAGCGTACAGTCGAGTGGGAGGTTGGCAAACATGGTGCTGACCGCAGAGAAATGTGCTGCGTCCCTCACAACTTGCAACTCCTCTTAAATTTCTAAACAGCAGTTGCCCCGCGGCCGCCGCAGCCCGCCTCAAACTGCGCCCTGGGCACTGGCAGTCGACCCATCGGTGCGACGTGATGCCAGGGCACATTGCTGGTCACACAGAAGCGCTACTTAGATGCTGAGGACAGTCCTGCGTCTTCAATGGATATGCCTGCGCTAGAAGTGAATTTGTCTCATCAGCAGCACATCTCTGAAAACAACAGCCGCCGCATTGTGCGCATGCATTCGTCCAAATTGACTTTTACTGCCAGGTGAGCTGGGTTTCCAGCTTGGTGTTCCCGGCCTCACCTGCAGCCCGCCGCTCGCTTGCCGGGAGCCCTTCTGAGCCAAAGGTGGCACGCGGAAAATGGCATGGAGTCCCATTTGCAATGTGACAGGTTGAGGAAATCAGCAGCGCTGAGCCACGCCTAACATGCTAGAATCACCGTCCTTGTGGGAGACTTTTCTGGACAAGCAATAACAAACCTTGAAGTGTTGGGGCTTGACAATGCAGCGCTGGCAACTGGCTGGGTCTGTGAAGGCATGAGCGCATGATGGCGCATGCAAGTCCATCCTAAGAAAAGCCCAAGCTCCACAAGGAGTCATCAAACCCGCAAAGCTCAGGTGTGTTGCCAGAAAGGCGGACAAGTCGAGAGTTGGGGTGATACGGCCTCTTTCGAAGAGGCGTGTGGTGAGACTGACAGCGGCTCGCCAGCAAAGATCTTGAAAGTTGGTCAGTTGCAACACGTGTCTGCCATCTGCTCTCATGTCCATAAATGTGGAGTGCTGGCAAACCACTCGGTGCTCGAAGCATGCCGACGATGTGCGCGTTACCACCTTACATGTGCATAGCGGGACAGGAGGCATAGCTCCTTCACTTCATTTGTTGGTTGCTTGCGGAGCATTGGTTCGGATCAGTGTGGCCAACCACAAGCATCACATGGACCACAAGCAGGGGAAACATGCAATCGTGCAGGTGCGAAGCAATCAAGGCGGCGATTTCGCACTCGAGGCTACTGGTGAGACTGAGCTCCGCGACTCACCAGCAAAGATCTTGAACATACATGTGGAGTACTGGCAAATCACTTTGAGCTCAAAGCACAGCAGCTATGCGCACGTTGCCAGCTGAAATGTGCGTAAGAGCGGGGCAGGAGGCATCGCTCCTTCACTTCATTTGGTTGTCATTTGCTGAGCATTGGTTATGATCACCACGTGGAAAAAAAACAGTGGCAACGCGCAGCATTGCAAGCGTGCGGGGGTGAAGCCAAAAAGACGGCGACTTCGCACTTGAGGCGTTGGGTGAGACTGAGCTCAGCGACTCACCAACAACACGTATCTGCCATCTGCTGTTACGGACTTCATCAGTGTGAAGTGATAGTGGAGCGCTGGCAAGCCACTGACAGTGCCATCCACGCACATGGGTTGGAGCGGTCCAAAAGATGTGGTGTCTTCTGTCTCAAGCATTCGGAATTTGTTTATGTAAATGTATGGGCTCCAGTGAGAGCCATTGGACCGCTCACGGTGGTGTCAATTCGTCATCGTGGTTGCTGGCCTGGCATGATCAATTCTGCTGAAAAAATAGACATAGAGAACAACGCCACATTTGATTCTCTCATGGTGTCACATGCGCCTGGTAGGAACCCTGAACAACCCATCGCTGCGTATAAAATTAAGCGGGTCCATTTGTAGGAAAAGGGAGTTCATCGGCTTGAAAGGCAAAGTCGAGTCGTCTCAAAGTCGCTTTCTGCCATTCATCTTGGGTGCAAAAATTTGGGATATTGCCATGAACATGTTTAGGCGTAGGGTTTACCGTGCAGCGCTAGCGCGGTGCAAGCGCTCTTCTCTTGGTCTCCCCTTATGTTTAGCATAATCTAGTGGCTGTGTTGGTGCGGCGGCGTTCCGCAACGACAGCAAGCTTGGTTTGATTCGGATCTTTAAAGCCGCAACTTGCTCTAATGTGCATAATGTCGACTTTGGATCACTCATCAGGGCCAGCAGCGGCGGTTCCCATTCTAGCGGTTGGAGTCACTTCACTTCAGGCTCTGGGTTCCTCAGTATGGTGCTCTTTTGATTCTGAAGATAGAATGAGCTGGTTAACTAGTTGGGAGCAACTTTTTAAATGGTGGACATGAATCTCAATTTCTTCTATCCGCCAAGGGGCAAACCATTTCCCACTTATGGATTCACGTGGTGCAACAAAAGGCCGAACGCAGGTCCCGGCCACCCTGCCACCCCTCATACCGTGACCACACAAACTTGGCAAGAGGATCCCCGTCAACTTACGCCTAACCTGTGGACCAAGAAGGTGTGACCCCGAAATGTCCACCTTGACATGTCATAGTCGGTGAGGCGCTTGCCACTCGATCCACGTGCGCGATCCCAGCGCAAACACTTCCGGCCTTCGCAGTTTAGATCTCGAACCCGCAGCTGCTTGAGAGCCTGGCCAAGGAAGAGGACCGAGAGGCAAGGCCGCTCTGAAGGCGGGCTGTCAGATGCGGGTCTAAGGTAGCATGAGCGTACCTGCCTGTGACCTGTGGAGCTCAGAAACTTTGATCGAGCCTCCTAATTTCTGTTGACAGCTTGTGGCAAAAAGCAAGGAGACGTTTGCCCTACAAGCCAAAAGTGTTTCCCTGGCATTTGACGGTGACCATAGTTGCGCCATTAATCTCACTCGCCAAAGAGGAACTGCAAGGAGTTGTTCAACCACATAGTATCGGCTCACCATGAGCATACTGCCTGCAGTTGATTTGGCAATGAAGCCTCAGACTGTCTAAATGCCCTTTGTGATGTCCTGAAAAAGCGGCCTTGGAACTGAACATGATTGCTCCTGGCGCGCGTAGCTTCGCCTGAAAATCCGCCTCTGAAGAGCCCGGCACTGAGATGCCTTTGGGAGGAATTCGGCTCCTTTGCGGGGAAGTCTGTGGCTAGGGCCTGGCACTGAGTCACTGAGAGGCTGAGGGACGGTCCCTGGCCTTGCAGCCGGACTTGCCAATGCAATTTCCCTCGATCCGCAACAGCTCCAAGTCCTTGTCCTCCAGGCCCTTGGCCAATGCCTCAGGGCGGCTTGAGCCCGGCAGACAATGTATGAGTGGGCCGTATCCACATCAGCTTTGCGTAAAGGTTTCCCAGGGTCTTACCTACATTGATTCATGAGTCGTTGCAGGAAGCCTTGCGGGCCGTCGCCAAACTGCTCAGTTGCCTTTTAAGCGCAGAAGTTGAGTGTGGTGTACGCAGCGCGCCTTGGCGCCGACATCTGTGATGGAATTGTGGAACAAATAAACCTGTGTCAGCTGCGGCAGCTGCTCCGCAGCAGTGCCCAGAGCCTTGCACCAAGAGACAAGTGGGAAGCGCACACGCCCCCCCCTTGGTTTCTGGCCGGCACCGGCCTTCACAAAGGCAGGACTGTGTGGCCTAGAGCAGACCTTCTCTTTGCACACGATATACGGCCATGCGTTCCAACTCAAGACTATGGTGTCATGCTTAGGGCAAGCATGGAGCGCAAGTTCAGAAACCTCCCGGGCGACTTTGCCTTCAATGGCCAGAGCTTTGCCGCCGAGCAAGCTTGAGCTTGGCTTACGCTGACGCTTGACTCACTTTCAGCTACCATGACGATGCTGCTGAGGTTCTTGCTGACACTCCAGTTGTGGACAGCTGCAACAACCCAAACACCACAACTGGAGCTCCAGCGCTGTAATTTTTTGCGGAATCCAGTGCGCCGGACCACAACCCGAAGCAGCGCCCCCCCTTGAACCAGGCGCCTGCGCCCCGGCGTCACCCAAGCGATTGCCGTGAAGGGCGAGCTCCCGGAGCCCCTGGTGCTGCTGGATGGCCCTGGCCACAGCCTGGCAAAAGCAAGAGCCGGAGAGCGCCTCTTTTCGCACGCGTCAGAACAGGGCAGCCAAGGCTCTACCCCAGCCGTACGTCTTTGGGTATAGGCAAAATGTGCGTGTGTGACAACCATGGCAAATCAATACGGCACACCTAGAGCTCGAACCCTAAGATGTGCATCATCATCTGCGACCCGTCAATGGACAGCGCTAGCGAGACAAACGTGCATAGAAATCCGCGCCGTCTCCCCGCCTAGCGACAACACGATTGGTGCAAATCAAATCTTGACATTGAAAGCCAAGTGAACAATGCAACAACACTTGGTGCTTTTTCCCACACACACACACGCACCAACACACACACACACACACAGAAAGCAACAAACAAACAAACCAAACCAACCAAACAAACAAACAAACCAAGCAAACAAACAAGCAAACAAACAGACAAACTATCAAACAAACAATCGAGCAAACAAACACACAGACCCGTCATCAACCCTTCCCTCGCTCTCAGATTGAACCTTCGTGCGTAGTGGCACAGTCTTGGGGGTTGAACAGTTGATCGCAAGCAAACATGTGCTTTGAAACGGCCACATCTAATTCTTCTGTGGACCAATTGTTTGCCATCAAAGCTTGCAAACACGGCAACAGGATTCTCCACGCTCCAAACTGCAAGGATCCCATAGCCACAATGCGCCCACCTACGGAAACAAAACAACTGATGCAACAAACATGACAATTCATCTGGCAAACCTGGCGCAGTGTCTGCAACTCGCAAATCACAAATGCGCTTCCTCTACCGTCCGAAACTGAGAAGCCACGGCCCAAACAACACCGAAGCCACTAGCACGGACACTTGATGCTTAGCTCCCACTCCAGCGAAACTCCCAGCCACACATCTAGAAATTCGGCATCCAAAGCCAACTGAAGCAAGATAGGCTGCTTGGGGGGAGCCGAAGGGCACCCCTGGAAGCGAGAGAGTTCAAATGTTCCCGGCGGTGCTCTCCACCATGGAGGCCTGGCAGCCGGGATCGCCAATCTGGTTCCCCCAAAGCCACAGCAGCTGCAGGGCAGTGGTGCCCTCCAGGCCGCGGGCCAGTGCCTGCGGGGACGGTGCTTGGCGCAGTCCCTTGACGGTGGGGATTGAAGCCTTTGTCCGAACACACAAAGTTTCGAGACTGACTAGATGTAGGACTTAACACCAGCCCTGCTGCGGTTCTTTCCATCAACCGTTTTCAGAGGCAAGTCCAGACACATCTACAACTGGCAATCAATTCTTTTCTGCTAAAAGCAGAGCTCGCCGACCCCCGCCCGGCGCGGCAAAACTGCCAAATCAATGATCTTCTTGCGACGGAACAGACTCACATGTCGAAATCTCCTCTGCGAGACTCTGCGCGGGTGTCATAGATAATCAATTTATCATCACTCCTGATTTGGGAGGTTTATCTTACCCCCTCGCCCCCTCAAACTTCCCCTCCCCCTCCCGCCTGGGCGCCCTTGACCCCGATCTGGTTTTGGCTGAGCCGCAGATCCTGCAGCCGCGGCATCTGCTGCAGCGCCGCGCCCAGGGCCTGGCCCCAGCCCCCGGCCTCCGCCCCCGAGCTCCGCCCCCGGCCTCCACCGAGCCCTTCGAACCCACGGGTTCCGGCCCCAGACCCAGCTCCACTTTGGACTCGGGAAAGCTTCGAGAGCTTTCCGCAAAAGCTCAAGCACCAACTTCCAAATTGCACATGCCTGGCAAATGTCTGCTTGCTATGCCACTGGATTTGCAACGGAGGGGTATTTATTTTAGGATGTTTTTTGTTTTTTTTCCTTTTTTTTTCGGCTTTTGGCTTCTTGGCTTCTTGGCTTCTTGGCTTCTGGGCTTTTCGGCTTCTTGGCTTCTCAGCTTCTGGGCTTCTTGGCTTTTCGGCTTCCTGGCTTCTCGGCTTCTGGGTTTTTCGGCTTTTTGCTGGTTTATGCGGCTTTTGGTGGCATTTTGGCTTTTCGCATCCTCTGCCTTCCCAGTTCCTCTTCGGCAGGTGGCGTTTTGGCTTTTGCGGCTTTTTGCTGGTTTATGCGGCTTTTGGCGGCTTTTAGCGGCTTTGGCTTTTTGCATCCTTCGGGCTTTTTGGATTTGGCTTCCCGCATCATCAGCATCACCACCACCCTATTTAAATCATCACTTCTTCGGACATCATGGGGATGGGGGGGGGAAAAATAGTAAAAGGAGAATTCAAAGAATTATTCTTTCTACTATTTTTTCTCCAACAGCAACACAACAAACAGAAAACAAAATCCAGAACAACAAGCAAACAAAATAAATAATCACAACCAGCAACAAAAATATTTAATCACAGCATGCAACATTAAATAATTCAAACAAGCATACCAACAAAACAGCAACACTCTAAATCATCAAAGAACCCAAACTCAAAAACACACATCAACAAAAATCAAAGCAACATACCAACAAAAAATATCACAAGAGCATCAAACAAAACAAAAACAAACAGCCAAAGCACGAAAAAATTGAAGAAGCATGCCAAGTCTAAACAACGCACTTTGAAAGAGATAAGCAAATTATAATAATTCAATCTTTACAAACGATAAATATATTACAATTATAACATATAATATTTTACATGTGATAATCATAGTATGATTATAATTTCAGTTCAGGATAATAATTTAATTGATTTGTCTCACTTCTTTCATACATCATTTTAAAAATAATATTAATATCTCTCAATGTATTTTGAATATTAAACTTTTTACTTTCAATAAATAATTTGATATTTTCTTTAACATCTTCTCCTTTCTCTTGACTATAACACAACATCCTTAATATATCATCAATCATACCATATTTTTTCTTAGGGATTTTAAGAAACTGTTTAATATAATCGTAAGGTGGTATTTTATTTACAGTTAGAAATATTAAAATCTCATCTTCTACATTTCTATTATGTCTCCCTTTTATTCTCAACAGACATTTGATTAAAACTTGATTATCTCTCCATTCCTGACAAATTTTACATTCATCTTCTTCATCCATTGAATAATTAATAATATTATTCAATATTTTATTAGGTAAATTTAATTTATACAATTCCATATTTTCTTTTTTGAAGTGACAACAATCATAGCATTTTTTATTGATATAATTATTGATTTTATCACCGTTCATTTCTATCTTAATATATTAAGTCAATATTTCTTTAAGTCATTTTTAAGGCATTAATAAAAATTAAGAAACTAACCATAAGTATAGTATAATTATAGCATATAATATTTTACATGTTATAATTATATTTCAATTAAGAATTAAGGATTTAAGATAACAGTCAGGCAATATGTCTTCAAATATGTAATCTACATATTTATCAATATCACCAATGTCTATATATTTGATATTGTCTTTTCCTATTATTGAATAAATATATTCCCAAAAGAATAAATACAGCAATAGACATACTTTATATTTAGTGTTGTAGTAATACCATACATGATATTTAGTTATTCTAAATTCATTCAAGACCTTGTTTATTTTATCTTTGCTTAATAAATGCCAATCAATCTCTTCAAACAAATCACGAAATTCTTTAGCAAATGATTTATATGGTTTAATGCTTAGTTCTCCTCCAAACCTTTTAATCAAATCTTTATTATTAAAAAACTCATCAATTTCTTTTTCAAATGACTCTCTATCAATTTTATGGTAAAAACATACAGGAAATCGTTTTTGATATTTCATAAAGAATGTCAATTGTAATTGAAACTTTGTATATCCCTTATCCTTATATTCTTCAACAAACAACTTTTCAAGGTCTCTTGTTATACAGCATTGATTACAATATACATCATATTCACTTATTTTATTACACAGATTAGCAGGTAATAAGTTATACAATGTAAAATTAATATCATTCTTTTTATTATTACAACATTCACACTTACTATAATTAAACAGTGTCATTTTTCCTCTTAATATATTAAGTCAATATTTCTTTAAGTCGTTTTCAAAGAATTTATTTTATAATGGCCGTAAGCAAGTGAGTTTACACTATCTATCCAATATTTTTTGTTTTCATAACTACTAAGAGCAATTTTTTTAGTTGTTATACTAAAAATTCTGTGGTTTTTACTTCTAATACTATTAAATGACTTATGTATAACCTCATTAGTTTTTAAAACCGTCTCAAACTCTTCATATTTCATTTGTCGTCTTACTGTGCCTTTTGCTATTCCCTTACATTTCTTATATTTTTTATCATCACCATAAACTGAGTAAGCATAGCATTTAGGACGAAGAGCTATAAACCCTGTTATTATTTTACTTTTTAATTCATCCTTAAATTTACCTAATACTTTCTTGTTATTATCATCATAACATTTATGTTCCTTAGGATAATCTGAAAAATCTAATTCTTTTTTAATTGTATTAAGGTCTTCATAAATGTCATTGGTTTTAGTATGAAATACAAAACTATCAGTATCAGTATATACCATTTTAATATTATCTCCATATTTAGGCTTCATAACGTCATAATAAAATTTATACATGTGTTGCTTACTCAAATCTAAAATACTCATCCCAATAAATATAGGTTTGTCTAGTTTCAACTTTGTTTTTTGCTTTTCAACTCCAACCAAATTTTCATTAATGATATGACTATGTTTGAAGTTAGGATTACTTACACACTTCATATATCTAGTTTCATCACTCACAACCTCAAAATCTAAATGTTTCCTTTTATCCTCCATTGTTTTTCCAAATATGGCATTGTTCATCAATTTGTAAACATCTTTCTCAAAATCATTTCTAGCATTCTTCCTCTTCTCAGTGTTAAACTCAATGTAAGGTTTTAAAACTTCTTTTTGTTCAAATTTAATTGCTCTATGAATTTTCTTAAGTTTTAACCCTTGCTTCAAATAAAATTGTAAGGTTCTTATATGGATTACATATTTTTCTTTATCATTTAAATTCAATACTAATTTATTTGTTTTCTCATCCGTAGGTTTTTTATGATTTAAAAATTCATAAATTTCAATTTGTTTATCTGACAGCATGTCGGCTTTAACATTCATAACCTCAGGTGCCATTGGATAGTCATTGTGTAAATCGTGTAATTCTTTAGGATATTCTAAATCCACTTCTAGAATATATCCAATATTATTATTCTTATAATTAATAATGTCTTCTTCTTTTAATGTATCATCCCATTTTAGATTTTTATATGGCAGTTTTTGTATCATGCTTAACCCGTACAAATTATTAGCATCAAAATAGTTAATATAACTACTTTCTTTATTTTTATCATATTCTTCTCCCATGTATTTATTATTTGCTTCAACTTTTTTAGTAGAAACCATACACATCCCGCCTCTAAGTCCCGCTTCTATCATTTCATACATTTCTTGGTCATATATTAAATCAATCTCTACACCAGTCATTTTAAGCATAGCATCAAAAGCAAAGTTAGGCAATGTATAATAATAAGCAGGGTCCAATCCATAATATTTCATACATACATCTCTAAAATTTTCGAAAATGTCAGTCAATAATAATACATCAGTTTTCAAATATAAATCATGGTATTCACCCATATTCTTAATGCCGAAATGCTTCCATATAATTTTTGCCCTTTCATAGTCGTTAACACTTATACCTTCTTCACTCAACTGACTATAAAAATCATCCTTACTCGGTAATTGCTCATCATCAAATTTATCAAATGAATTCATGTAGTCATAAGGATAAACGCCTTTATCAGTTAATAAATCTAGACATTTCTCACTCTTAATCAAATCATTTTTACTACTGAACCTAAAATTATCTTTCCAGTCTTCACGCAATAACCATTTACTTTTATCTTCTTCATCTGTATTATCATACTTACTCATTGAAACTAACTTATCTAATGAAGCAGTTAAAAACCCAAAAGTGTCTTTAACACTCAAACTTTCAAAACTGATATTAATAAATTTTTCACTGTTCTGAGCGATGACACCTATTTTACTGTTGTTACTTAATTTATCAGCATTTTGAATAATTAAATGACCGTCATAATTTTTCATGTTATGAAAGAATACTGGAATTTTAAAATATCTATTACAAAAATTAAGATTGCAAACATTATGAGCACAACCTCTATACTTACCTGTAAAATGACAATGGTCTCTAACTTTTCTATATTTCTCTGCTTCCTTGGCATTCTTATAGTTCATTCTAAACTTATCCCCACAAATAAAGCAGTTTTTAGCATGTTTAAAATCTTCTTTGTCTTCATCAGTCATGTCTATTTTTTCGTTTTCTCCCATCTTCTCCTTTACTTCTGCCCTAATCTCATTAAGTTTTTGACAAAACACATCAACAGCATCTTTACCACGATACATAAATTCATAATTTGTATTATCAACAGCATTAACCATATTAAGCATAAAACCACATGGTTTATGCTCTTGATAAGAAAAAGTGTTTTTATCTTCATCTTCATCAGGTTTTTTCAGTTCCTCTGTCAAACATTCAAAATCAGCATATACAACAAAAGGACATCTTAACTTT